GATATTTGATTTAGGTATCTTGTATAACTCGGTGGTCTGTGCATTTCGTGCTCTCCCATCCTCCATTAAATGCCCAAGGGCTAGGGAACTCACACACTAGCAAGTGGCTGGTATATAACAGAACACCATAAAGAAATGGAAGAAAAGGAAATGATTTCTTGAATCTAAAATGTCAAGAATTATGGAAAAACAATCCAAGTTACATTATATGACAAATAACTGTCTTTTGAGTGTTCAGTCAGTGACCTAAGGCTGTTAAGATATTAGTCCCTCTTTATTCCAATTTGTTTGCTTCTGCAGTTTAATTTTTTTGTTTATACACTCTGTTATAATAGAATCTGGTATATTACTTTTATCATCAACTTTGGAGCGTCTGATTGCTTGTTCTGCTCATGCTTAGCATCTTCTCAGGTTATTAAGTGCATTATGTGCAGGTCAAAGGTGCCCAACTGTGGGGGACAGATATATACACTGATGACTCTGATCTTGTTGCTGGTATGTGGTACTGTGAAGAAATTTTTGCGCATAATATAGTTGGGTCTGGAAATGATAGATTTTGGTGGTGTTGAAATCTAATCTTGATTGGTGGAATTTTGGTTCAGTTCTCATGCACACAGGTTATTGCCGCCCCACTGGTTCCCCCCCGCCACCTGCCATTCAAGAGTTGCACTCTACCATCAGGGTTCTGCCTCCACAAGATTGTTAGTCAAATAATTTTGTAACATGCTTTTCTACTCATGTTAACAGCTGAAAAATGTATCCTTCAGCTCCATTATTGCACTTCTCCATTATCTATTTGGAACTCGTTGTTTTTGGTTTTAGAGCTCCCTTAACTGAACTACCAGTTGTTTTTTTATTTCTCTCCTAATATTAATTGCTACCTTTTTCATTGCAACTCATGCTTTACAGTTAATTTTAGCAAATTAACTTTTTAATGTGTTGACTAGGCTATCCATCTAAGCTGAGAAACAATGTTCGTTCCCGTGCCTGGGGAGCTGGAATTGGTTGTAGTTATCGAGTGGAGCGGTGCTGCATTGTCAAGGTGACCCTTCTAGCTTGTACATTTGTGTTCCCACACACTTCTTCGCAGTACTCACAAAACATCTCTGGGCTTTTCTTTAAGCTTCAAAGATGGTTAAATGATTTTTTGACTATGTTGTCGGAAAGTGTAGTTACTGTGGCAACAAGTCTGCAACTGGTACAATTTGGTACAACATGACATAGCCAAGTATATTGAAGGGGACATATTTTTGTCAAAAAGAAACTAAATAGTGGATTGATCTGCACACTTTATGTGCCAACTACATCTCAGCTTGCTCATGTGCTCGCCAAAGTTTTAAGCAATCATACATTTTAGATTGTCATTGCCAAGCTGGGAGTGGACAATGCTTATTCACCAGCTTGAGGGACAACTGTTATAAACCAAGCATATGTCTCACTTGCTGATTTGCTCGCTAAAGTTTTAAGCAATTATGTCTCCTAAACCGTCATTACCAAGCTGGGAGTTAATTAATGTTTATTCACCAATTTAAGTGGGCGTGTGGGAAAATATAATTGATTAAGACAGTAATTGAATTGTATTACTAGTTCCCTATTTGTATAATAGGATGTTCCTAGAATACGTTAATTTGATTAGCCTCTCAATGTTCCTAGGGTTTCCTTTTTACGTACTTAAGGTTGTATGCAGAGTTGTTCTTAAATGATTGCTTAACTGATTATCTCAAATGCTTAAGCTGATAGAAAAAGACTTAATTATTATTTACATTCTAACGCATCCCCTCATGCATAAGTCTACTAGACTGAAAGCGTGAATCGTACATAGACTCACCAACCTTGTGTGTGGTTAAATAGTTAATAGAAATAGGGGAACTGGAATTGGAATACTAGATCTTTGGTTTTGAT